TCAGAGTTGCTTGAGGAAGTTGAGTGGAACTGGCTCTTGAAGCAAATAGATTTGCTAGCCTTTCTGCTTCTTGCTCTGGATGAACATTGTGCAGCGGAGCAGGAGGCGATTTTCCTTTGGCCTTGTTGATCTGCCACTAGATGTCGCCCAAGGACGTATGCTGATTTAGCTTGGCACACCACTCGAGCCATTTTTCTTCTCTGATTTTTGCGGTTTCTTCGTGCACATGATCTCGGACAGCTCTAAGATGTCCTAGATTAGCTTCGGTTCTATATCTTCTGAAATTCTTTCATGCACGATTTAGTCTGTTATGTAGCTCTTTGATCCTATCACAGTAATACCAATGGTCCTTATGTTGTTGGGTAATTGTTTTCCTCTTGGGGATGGCGTGATTTGCTGCTCTATGTATTGCATTTACTAAATCTTTTTCCATTTCTTCGGTGTTGTCAGGAGGAGTGTAGTTTTGGTGCCAAGTTTCGAGAGCTTCCTGAAACTTCGTCCAATCTGCCTTGATAAAGTCCCATCCGGGCTCGGGAGCTGGAGGTCTAGGAGGTAGTGCTATATTAATAACTGTTTTTGTAGCAAAGTGGTCACTAGTCAGAACATGATCAACTGACCAATGACACAACTCATAAATACTGGTGGAAACAAACGTGAGATCCAACTTTCCCCCACCAGTGTGAGTTGGTTCTGTCGAATTAAGCAGACTGATTTCTGGCGATTAATCCAAAAGGTGTTCAATATGTCTTCCGTTGGCATCGGTTCTTGGTGAATCAAGTAGTAGTTCACTATGAGCGTTTTGCCTAAACTAAACAGCTTGTCTTATATACTCACATTTGGGTGAGGTGATATGTTGCAACAGATTTGGATGAGGTGAACAAACTTTTGACAAACACAAGACAGAACACGGAACAATGGGTATTAATTGGGTAAATGAGAGGGAAGAATGGAAGTAACTGCAAAGGGCCTATTGACTCATACTTCCTCTTGATTCTTCTATATTGGTATGGAGTCTTGAAGTGGGTAGAATATAGACATACCAGAAAACATTCTAAGGAAACTACTCCAAGCTTGTACTAAAGAGGCACCCTTCTTGAGCCTAGATGGGCACATATATAAGCAAGTAGATGGGATCACCATGGGTTCTCCTCTAGGTGTCCTGTTTGCTAACTTCTACATGGGTACTATCGAACAGAAAGTCTTAGTTGACATGAACTTGAAACCTGCCATATACTGCAGGTATGTTGACGACATTTTTACTCAGGTACCTGATGTCAGACGTCTGCAGGAGCTGAAGGAGGCAATGGAGTGGAATTCTGTGTTGAGTTTCACTTACGAGATGGAGAAGGATGGGAAGCTGCCCTTTCTAGATGTAACAGTCATGGAAAGAAGCGGAGGTTTCCACACTGCAGTCTACACTAAGGAAACAAACATAGGAATGTGCCTCAATGCCAACAGTGACTGCCCAGACAGGTACAAGAGGAGTGTTGTCAAAGCTTACGTCGACCGTGCCCTCAGCCACAGCTCAGGATGGAAGCAAGTCGATGAAGAATTCTGTAGGGTAAGGCAGGTCCTAGTCAACAACGGCTTCTCCAATGGTTTCGTGGAAGACATCATAAAAAGGAGGGTGAAACATCATGCAACCTCTGAAGAGTCAACTAACACAACACCTATACCCCCTATTAGACTATTTTACAGGAACTTCTTTTCCACAGCTCATAAAACGGAGGAAAGATATAGTCCTGAAAGATATTGTTGATAGGAATGTTATCCCTACAGCCAAAAATCAGAAGATAAAATTTACGATTTACTATAAAACCAAAAAAAAAACGGCCAACCTACTCATGAAAAACTCTTCAGACACAAAGCAGAACGCCTTATAGGAGACCAACGTATTCTATGCCTTCAAATGCCCACTTGGGGACTGTAAGACCCAAAAAACTCAGTATATAGGCATGACAATTCCTATAGGTTGGAGTTGGTATTTGGCTGATTATTGGGTGTAGTGGGTTACCTGGTTTGTGTGTCTTAACAGTGCTTAACCTATCACCTGGCAAAAAGACTTAACGAGCTCCTAACTCCATACACTCCAAGCAAGTATAGTCTACAATCATCAGCAGATTTCCTAGAATTAATCAAATCTACGCGACTGCTTCATGTCTGGCAATCTTTCCCTGTGTCTTACGACAGATGAGACCATGGCTGCCGTATTGGTCTGCCCGTGCATGGCCGCAAATACACCGGTGCTCGGTGGAGATAGGGGCGGCAAGGCGCAGAGCAACACCAATACTTAGGGTCCGATGGTCCAGGTGGGTGCCCAAGGCGGAATAAGGGACTGCAACAGGAAGTCCCCGGCATGGGGCGCTTGCACAGCTAGAAGACGCGCTTTGTCCTTCCTGGAAGCTGCCTCCAGCAATGATGTGGCGATGTTCTCCACTATGGGGCTATCCCATTTGGACTGTTTGCAATCATTTGCAATCATGGCTCCTTCCGCGAATTTGGGGTCATGAATCCCAATGGCGTCTCTTAGGTGTTCCGGTAGTATTTCCTTAACTAATTCACCTGTTGCACTGTCGAGGATAAGAATGCCGGCAATGCTAACTGTGTCGCCTTGCGAATACCTATCCCCCCGAGTCTAACTGGGAGCGTTGCTTGGTCCCATTGGTCATCTTGGTGGGAGAGGGTTAACACTTTCACGGTTATTGACCTTAGGAGTGTGTCATATTCTGTTAATTTTGGGCTGTCGAAGGAGGGAGCACACCTTAGGAAATAGGTCAGTCTGGGCAAAGCCAGGCACCTTGTGAGAAGGTACAAAGCATCGTGGGCGTCCAAAGCCCCTATTCTTCCCTCCATCCTCCTCAGGTCGTTCAGCTTTTCTTCGAGGACTACCTCAATGGCGCTCGAGCCCAGAGGTGCCCCTAGCAGCACACTGTCGGTGGGAGCGATCACTTGGGCTCCTGGCAATACGATTCGCACTGCATCTATGGTTGGTTGGCTAGATGAGATGATTTCACACTTTAATGGGTTTAGGGTGAGTCCTAACTCCTCTCCCTTAGATTTCACCAGCTGTAGATCTTCTAGCAGGGACTCCTGTGTCCCTGCCAGGGTGCCATCGTCCAGGAACCAGATGTTGAGTTCGCTGGTCAACCTGCTTGTGACCTCTTTAACAGCCATGCAAAAAAGAAAAGGGGCAAGTGGGTCTCCCTGCTGGACACCTTCTGCAGAAACAACTTCATGTTCCCCAAACAGCAGCGTCGATTCCCTACTGTACCCTGCTGAGACGAAGGGGAGTAGAGAAGGAAAGGTTGTTAGAACTGCTTCCAGTACCACATCCCTTTTTACCTGGTTGAAGGCATTTTTAAAGTCTAATTTAATTAATGCCTTATTTTCTGGGAGGTGCTTGATATAGGCTCGTGCTGCATGAGCTGCTGCTTCACAGCCATGGGGGACACCAAAACCTAGTTGATGGGGGTCGAAGCATCGTCGCAGCGTCTATGCTAATTTTTCTGACAGCTGCCCTAGCAACAAGGCGCCGAAGTGTGTTACCCACGGCAATGGGTCTGACTCCATCTTTCTTCATTGGGGCACAAAGGGATGCTCCAAAGAAAAAGGGTTTAATTGTATCTGGGATCGATCAACCCATCTGGGATCTGGGATATATATATGTATATGACAATGTCAGACCACGGAGGAAAAATGAAACAGGAAATTTCCTGTTTCATTTTTCCTCCGTGGTCTGACATTGTCACATTCTTAATCACGTGTTTATTTTCGTGATATACACACATATATGTATATATATATATATATTAATATATTTTGGTAGCAGTCTTTCCTGTAGACATATATTATTAAATATGACCGAAAAAGTAAGATTAATAATTCTAACACGAATTTTCTCAATCTTTCGTACATTTCGCTTCACTGTTGGAGGTAAATCAAAAATCAATTCTCCAAAATTCATTTTTATTTCTAGTCTGACGCGACACGAGCGCGTTTCGTAAAACTTATTACATTTTCAAAGACTTTAGTTCACAAATACACAACTGAATAGAACTTACGCATCTCCGATTTTATATCTACATTTGAGTGAGGTGGAAGGGGTGATGTGGCATTAACACAAGACAGAACAAGATGTGGTATTAATAGGGTATTAATTTCATCAACACAAGACAGAACAAGAGTATTAATAGGGTATTAATTTCATCAACACAAGACAGAACACGAAACAATGGATATTGAATAGAAGTGTTTGTAGAAAGCCTATTGGTCCATATTTCTTGATGCTTCTATATTGGAGCGGAGTCTTGAGGTGGGTAGAATATAGTTGTGTATATACTGTGCACAACTATATTCTACCCACCTCAAGACTCCGCTCCAATATAGAAGCATCAAGAAATATGGACCAATAGGCTTTCTACAAACACTTCTATTCAATATCCATTGTTTCGTGTTCTGTCTTGTGTTGATGAAATTAATACCCTATTAATACTCTTGTTCTGTCTTGTGTTGATGAAATTAATACCCTATTAATACCACATCTTGTTCTGTCTTGTGTTAATGCCACATCACCCCTTCCACCTCACTCAAATGTAGATAAAATCGGAGATGCGTAAGTTCTATTCAGTTGTGTATTTGTGAACTAAAGTCTTTGAAAATGTAATAAGTTTTACGAAACGCGCTCGTGTCGCGTCAGACTAGAAATAAAAATGAATTTTGGAGAATTGATTTTTGATTTACCTCCAACAGTGAAGCGAAATGTACGAAAGATTGAGAAAATTCGTGTTAGAATTATTAATCTTACTTTTTCGGTCATATTTAATAATATATATATATATATATATATATATATATATATATATATATATATATATATATATATATATATATATATATATATATATATATATATATATATATATATATATATTATAATAATAATAATAATAATAATAATAGATTGGAGGATATGACTTATGACGAAAATGTATTGATGGCAGCATCTTGGGTACCGGTGTGTGAGTGAGGAGTCTTGCACCCGGGGCGGCTGGAGCCTTCACACACAAGAGGACACAGAGGAAGGACCGGCCAGGCGCCTTTGTGTCCGCTGTCATGGTCAGTTCCTTCCCACTATCAGGCTTTCCGTTTGTCAAATTTCTGAATTGTAATTTTTTAACAATTTTATTCAGATTGAGCCTAAATATGAGATATTTATAATTGTTTTTATTATATTATATAAAAAAATTGAATAATATGTTGATATTCAAACATTTATTGGATTAAAATACCATTCAATATTTCGTGATGATGGGGGTAGGAGGCAGGTGCAGTGAGTGGTGCAAGGGAGCGACCATCACCAGCGAGGACCCCGGGCGCTCACTGCGGGCCTGCCAGAGGGTGGATGGCAGCCTCAACATCTCCGTCGCTGGCGGCTGTGAGTATTGCTTACTTAATAATGCCAATCATGTAAGTACATAAATATAAATGCTATTATTCTAAACATTTTCAGCTGTTAATGCAATGGTATCCAACATCCGCCAGAGCTGGCACCATTAGCCACCTAGAGGCAGGTGACGATTTGCAGGGATTTGACTCTGAAGTTAGGTCCATGAATTCATGAATTCTCCTTCCCGAGCCCGGCTCAGGGCTTGGCTTAACCCTAGATAATTTGATGGATGAACCTGTTGCTTGGAATGGTTCAGCATGCCAACATGTCTACGACAACCATAGCTTGTCTGGACGTCGAACAGTAACTTAACCACATGTCTCATAAATACCTCAACTTGGCATCACTGTCGGCTCTAACAAGAGAACGAAAGAGGAGCTTAACCAACGTATAGGATCATGTAAAAGTCGACTCAGGGCACTTAATGGAATGGACCTTATCAGGGGGTAGGTTTTTTAAAACTCAACTTAACTTTACTTTACTTATATTCTAACGGACAGAGACCCCTACCACATCCCTGATAATTAATATAAAATTATCCACAGCAACTACTACTTACTACTGCTGTTGTCAATCAATCAGTAATGGACACTGGAGTGCATATTATAGGATCACCCTGAAATCATCTTATACACGGAGAGGGGTTCAACATCACCTTTACTTGGGGAAACGGCTTCAGTCTGGCCTATTGGTCATGAATACACACCCTGTCGAGCCGCTGTGACTCCCCCACACTCTCCTTGTTTAGGGACGATCTCTTAATTCCCCTTTCATAATATTACTGTCCGCTGTCAACCACTCTGGAACCGTTTCTCTCTCCCTCCCTTTTCCTATAAATCCTCACCAGGACAAGAGGAAAACCAGATGTCTACAAACATTTATTACATGAAGAAACATAGAGATAAAATAATACATTACAATATCATAGGATTCTACAAAACAGCAACCACTTATATAATATCAGTTCTTCACCAAATAACTGCACTAGGCTGCTGCTCAATTTCCACATTCAGCCTTTTGCCTTCTCACTGCTTGTGGCTGGGTAACTTGCATATCAAAATTTATCCAACTGTAAAATAATAACTTTCTCACCTTATATTGCGTCACTCATGCCTTATGCATCCAAGCACTCCCTCTATCATATCAAGGTTACCATACAATTCTCTGTTCTGTGTCCTGAGGTCCACCACTAAGAACATCTGTCTCTGGGTCCTCGAAATCAGGTAGGTAATCCTGCAGTCTCTTCAATATTTGCTGCTACTTGAAGTCCCACTGAATGCCTGTGAAGTTCCTCTATGCGGTTTCATCAAAAAACGTGTAGCACCACTACACTCGAAGTTCCACTCTATCACTGAAGTTCCACTCTATCACTGAAGTTCCACTTTGTAATTGATGTTATACTACTCCACATTTTAAGTTCTACTCCACACTTTAAGTTCTACTCCACACTTTAAGTTCTACTCCACACTTGAAGTTCTACTCCACACTTTAAGTTCTACTCCACACTTGAAGTTCTACTCCACATAATCTTCATCAGACACAAAGCTCCTCCACGAACTTCTCCCCACACAAACCACAGAAAATATGATGAAACGGCACTTGCCCACAGGCGCTCCAAATTAGCGCTACTCCTGGTCGTTTACCAAATCCTCTTGGACTGTCTCTAAATACTTCTCACAGTCCCGACTTGAGTATACACAGTCGCCAGCCAGACTCCACACAGGAAAACCAGCTCAATTTCAACAACTCAAACGATATCTCAAAGTAGGGTCCACACAGGTCACGACCACCATATAGACTTCAGGCCGCCCCGAACATTGGTCAAGATCACAGAGAAATGTTGTACGCCGACCTCGGCAGCTTGTACAATCACACTTTGTACAAGTAGCCTTCACTCCAACACTTAAATGAGAACTATAATCTTTCGTCCCACGAGGGCACCAACGTACGTCTATCCTCGACGACTTTCGCGACTCAAGTGACTCTTTTACGACTTCCATAATGTCGACATCTTTCTTTGTTTTCACAAGATTCTAGCCCTCGGCTTTCATCTCTTCAGCCTTAATTTTTTGACGTTTGCTTAATTACTTGCTTCCCCTGACTCCTACATCCGATCATGTGGGTAGAATAACTCTCACAAGGTAAACTTAATTCATGAGCTACCTGGGCTTCATAACAGCATGGAGCCTCTATTGCGGGGCTTAAAATGATGTACATAGCGTCTGTACACTCCGTCATAGACTATGCTACACCAGTTTTGTGCACCTATTCCCAAAGCGATGTGAAAAGACTTGAAAGCATACAAAATGAAACCATTACAATCATTCTTTGAGTCCCAAAAACTGGGACTCAAAAATTACAATCATATTGCCAGGAAAAAACTAAGGTCTGTGCTACTTACAGGAAGAAACAGGAAAAGCAAAAAAATGGCATCACAGATCAGTTTGCTACCTCGAAAAGCTTCGCCTGCTTAAGCAAGCCCGTGAGCTCATACCTGTAGAGGTGTTACTTTCCTGGGAGGAGGACCCATGTAGGATTATTATCAACTAGACGACACCGAAAAAGTTCAATATAATACCACAAAAAATGAAGGTATAAGAATCTTGAGGAAATATATTGATAAGCTGGAAAAGAAAAAGAACAAATCTACAATGATGGGTCATCTAACCCTGCCATTGGCAGGGCTGGATCAGCATACACTGTAATTAGGAATAATGCCTTTCAAAGCGGAAATGAAGAAAAAACACGTATTAAGTACTGTCTCTTCAACGCCAGCAGAGCTAAGTGCCATTGTTATGGCTTTAAGATTCCTTGAAGGAAACACTAATGGTGCAGTGATATGCACTGATTCAAAAGTATCACTACAAAGCCTTAGAAAAATCAAGCAGAAAACCTTGCGATAGTCAATGAAATGGAGAGAGCTGTGAGGTTATTAACCAATCAGGAAAGAGTCGTAAAATTCCTGTAGATTCCCTCCCATGTTGGAATCTGTGGAAATGAACGAACAGAAGTGCTGGCTACTGAAGGCACTGAAGGAGACTATATTGAATACTTCATACCCAAGACTCTTAAAGTCTTGGGTATGAAGTCAACGGAGTTTAAAGATCCGTTGATCTCTTGTTTGTACAGTGTTCTCTGATTGTGCCTCTGGCACCTCTTCTCTTCACAGGCTCTACTTTGGCTTTACCGCCATATCTATTGCTCCATAAGTTGCTATTTTGTTATGCATATTTACAAGCATATTTACGTGCATATTTTAGTTATATTGCCCGGGATGTGTTGTGCTTGTGCTAACATCAGTTATATAGCCCGGGTTGTGTTGTGTTTGTGCTAACATCAGTTATATAGCCCGGGTTGTGTTGTGTTTGTGCTAACATCAGTTATATTACCCGGGTTGTGTTGTGTTTGTGCTAACATCAGTTATATTACCCGGGTTGTGTTGTGTTTGTGCTAACATCAGTTATATTACCCGGGTTGTGTTGTGTTTGTGCTAACATCAGTTATATTACCCGGGTTGTAGATATCGTTCTTAAGGAAGCTGTCCAGATTTTAAACTTTTATTTTGTTTATTGGGATGCGTAACATAGCTTCATACTGGTATTTCGGGATTTCACTAATATCTTGATTATAATATGCTCTGTCTATGTATAGATCAAATATGTACTAGCCGAGGTATTTATTTTTATTATGTTTATGTGAAAAGTATTTAAATGTTTTCTATATCATTTAAATCTTTTTGTTCCTTATGCATTTCTTCAGTTGCTTTTGTTTAATATGATAACTTCAGCATCTGCTATTTCCTTAATCTCTCTGTTTAGATTACTTTACTTGTTGGGATCTTCGTACCTGCTGAAACATTTCAGTTGCCCTTTTTCTTCTTCCACAGTGTCATCTGTGATCACTTTTTAAACTGATTTTCTTTTTCATCTTTCTCACAGTAGACGCTCTAGCAGACTCTGTATTCTTCGACAGTCAATTACTCTATTAGTTTCGTATAAGTCTGAGTACTAAAGACGTTTCCAACTGCAACTTTGCTAGTTCTCTGGTTTACCTAACAGCCTAAGCCAGAGGACTCAAAACAAAAAACAGGATAGTACGTCATAGAAGGTTAGGAGGGCAGGAAGATCGCCTAAGGTTTCAAAACGTCATGAAAACCGTTAATTGAAAGTTTCCACAATTAATTACTTCGTTGCTTGTGCAGACCAAATCGAGAGCATATTCGTTTCTGGTTGGCTCTGGTTGCTACCGATTGAACGAAAATTTCCCAGAGTCTCAGTAGCTCTCTAACACGTGTTTGGTTATTTCCAGGTTGATTTCCTGTTATTTTTATCTATGAAAGAGAATATCTGTCAGTTTGTCTGTCTGTATGTGAAAGGTTGGAGGCCAGACTCTTGAAACAGACCTTATTTAACTTTGCAGATGTACTGGTGCTTGTATAAGGAGTGTCAGAGGCGGGCCACGGTTAACTTTGTCCCATTTAAGGGTTGTCGGTCCCTAAGCCTCTACACAATGTTGGTGGACATGAAAGGTTCTGCAAAGAGTCTCTGGTCCTTCAGTCTCCCATAGTTCAGGCACATCGCTACCATTCCTAAAGTTGCCAGAGCAGGGAGCAATGCCATAATTATGTATAGCTCACCTGCCCTCGGCCTATTATAAGGGCGTTGCTGAGACAATGTCCCTAGCTGCACAGGACGATGCACTCCTAAGTCTAAGGTCACAACAAATTTGGCTCTTTTCCCCACAAGGCCAGGAATAAGTGTTACAAAACTTACTGGTCTCTGGCATTTATTCATGAAGAAGCAGATTGCCTGAGACAAGGTCGTGCTGAGGGAGGGAGGGAGGGAAATATCAAGGGAAAGCGCCAAGACATTACGCCTATATAGCACTTGGAAAGGGTTAGGATAAGGATTTGGGATGGGACGGGGGAGAAGGAATGGCGCCCAACCACTTGGACTAAATATCGTCAGCTAAATATCGACCTAATTTAAAATAGAAATTTATTATCCAATTAATTTTTTTTTTCAAAAACAACAAGGTAAGGGTCCTCTGGTAAGTTAGGAGGGCAGGAAGTTCTCCTAAGGTTTCAAAAAGTCATGGAAACCGTTAATTGAAAGTTTCCTCCCCTAACCTAATAGCCTAAGCCAGAGGACCCAAAACAGAAAACGGGACAGTACGTCACTTTCATGAGCCGATTTCAGTTTGAATTACGTCGATTTTTTGCCTGAGTGAACATACTAGCGAAAAGTGACATAATTTGTAAGTGTACGGGCTGGGGCCCAGTGGACACTCCCAGCTCCCATTGGACATCAAAAAGACATGAACGATGGACAAATTATAGTTAGATGAAGAATGTAATTTGCCGTGTGCTCCACGTCACGTCCTACATGTAATCAGGTGCAACTGTGTAAACAAACTGATGTAGTCTGCCATGGAGATGTTTAGTGAATAACTGACCATGGAGAGACACGTGTGAGTGTGGAGGGATTGATGACCTCTGCATCAATGACACTAAAGCCACAACATAACTAGTAGACAGTGACCGTGAAGATGACCTCATACATGAGGAGTAACACACATTATTGTGTATTTTACCCATATGTTGTTATCATCAATGACTCAGCTTATTACTATGTAAGTTTATTAATACAAGTGTTAGTTAAAATTTCGTAATCTTTATGATTTCTTTCTGGAATTAAAGTGATCAAATAAAAAATATCTACATACCCTTCATCTCAGAAAACGCAAATTACATCAGAAAGTTGTAAATTATCTTTTTGTTGCACACAAAATTACCTTTATAATTAACTAAATTACTTATACCTAAAAAAGATAACTACTAAAGCAACTGAGATTCCCCATAACTCCTGGAAAGAGGAAAGATTGCCTACATATATTATTTTAGTCACTACAACAAGCAGTAATACTACCTGGGTGTGTGAATACCAACTGGTACTCCTAGTGGATGTGAACAATGTGCCTCTACTGTCCCGCCAGGGAACCTGACGCAGCAGCTGGAGGAGAACCTGCAGCATCTACAGGAGGTGACGGGTTACATCCGCGTCTACGGCTCTAACACACTCTTCTCCCTTAACTTCCTTAGTAATCTACGGGTTATCGGAGGCCAGGAGCTAGTGCACGGCAAGTAGGTAACTCATTCACAGTCGTACTCTTCTTGCTCATACTTTACTAAGGGTCACTGTGCTTCTTCATACGTTTATCACCATGCTGTATTAACTATGCATCACTAGAATTTATCAAGTATCACCATGCTTTATAAAGTATCACTGTGCTTTATGAAATATCACTGGGTTTTATGAAATATGTATCATTGGACTTCATTAACTACGAATCACTGGGATTCATCAAATATGTATCGTCGAACTATATTATACCACTGTGCTTTATTAAGTATGTATCACTAAGCTTCCTCAAGTATGAAAGCTGAGCTTTATCAACTATGTATCACATATGCTTTATGAAGTATGTATTTCTGCTCTTTATCAAATATGCTTCACTTGGGTTTATGAACTATGCATAACTGTTTTAAAAACTGTGAATCACTCTACTTTATTAACTATGTATCACTATACTTTATGTGTGGAATAATAACTGGGATTGATTATGAAACTACAACAATTGTGTGGGATTATAAATTAAAAATATAGAAATTGTATTAGCATGCACTACAAAAATATTCAAAAGCCTTAACACTCACTGTAGTCCAGATAAGGCGCTCCCTGTTCTCTGGGTGAAGATTGTGGACTGTAGGATCAGATATCTCCATTTTACTTAAATTTCATTGTAATTGAACTAATAGTTGTGAAGCTACTCCTATAAACGATAAGAACTGGCTCCGAGAACTATCATATGGCATTATTAATTACTTCACACACTTCTAATTGTCATATCGTCTGAAAATGGTCCACTTCTGAAATTAATTTACCCCTAAAACAGATTGTACTGTAGAGACAATATTTCTCCATAAGAATTCCTTAAGACTGTAGCGAAGATTTTTCTTCCTAAGAATTCCTTAAGACCACAGCGAGGATGTTTCTCAATAAGACTTCCTTAACACCCAAGTGAGGAATATTTCCCCATCAGACCTAAGAGACGAATTTTTCCCTATAAGAACTCCTTAAGACCACAGCAAAAACTTTTTCCGTAGTGAAGATTTTTCTCCATAAGAATTCCTTAAGACCACAGCGACGACATTTTCCATAGCGAAGAATTTTCTCGATAAGAACTCCTTAAGGCCACAGCGACGACATTTAACAATAAGATTGCGGTGTGTATTTTTCCCCATAAGAACTTCTTAAGACTTCAGCAACGATATTTTCCAAAATCAAACATCGTCGCTAAGCTGCAATACCATCTACTCATTGTAAGTCCCACATGAGTGATTGTAGCTAGCACACGGGTGATTATAACTTACACATAGGTGATTATAACTCCAACACAGGTGATTGTAGCTAGTACGCGGGTGATTATAACTCACACATAGGTGATTGTAACTCCAACACAGGTGATTGTAGCTAGTACGCGGGTGATTATAACTCACACATAGGTGATTGTAACTTACACGGTAGTGAACCTGACAATATAAGCGAATTGAAGGTAAGTGCTGCTCTTGTATGTCTACATCATTACATCTTAACCAAAAACTCTATGGGATATCTTCTGCAGTTTGTACTTATCTGCTGAAAGTAATATGATAACATAACTGTTAGAAGGGCCTCCAAATCATTGTGGAGGACTGACATGCATTACAAAAAAAAAAAAAAAAAAAAAAAATTACCAAGTGTGCCGTCCTTGCAGGTATGCACTGTATGTGCTGGAGAACGAGAACCTGCAGCAGCTGTGGGACTGGGAGCAGCGTAACCACACCCTCAGGATCGCTCGAGGGACTCTCTTCTCCCGGTACAACCCGAGCCTGTGTCCCAGACTCGTGCACCAGCTGGCCAACATCACCGGCGTGGGGCCCCTCCAGGACGACCTCGCCTCTGCCGGCGACCATACTCCTCCCTGTATGTATATTGCTCCCCTCTTTCAGGTGTGAGTGGGTACCCCTCTGCCTGCTGTGTCGGTACTTTCAGGATGTTGTGTGTCGGCACTCTCTGTATGTTGTGTGTCGGTACTCTCTGTATGTTGTGTGTCAGTATTCTTTGTATGTTGTGTGTCAGTATTCTCTGTATGTTGTGTGTCGGTACTCTCTGTCTGTTGTGTGTCAGTATTCTTTGTATGTTGTGTGTCAGTATTCTCTGTCTGGTGAGTGTCGATGTTACGACCCCTGACCCCATTGTTGCATTGTTGCAGATGGGACCCAGGATCGTATGGCATTTCTTTATATATAGAGATGTGAGGGACCCTCTTTATATATAGAGATGTGAGGGACCCTCTTTATATATAGAGATGTGAGGGACCCTCTTTATATATAGAGATGTGAGGGACCCTCTTTATATAGAGAGAGATGTGAGGGACCCTCTTTATATATAGAGATGTGAGGGACCCTCTTTATATATAGAGATGTGAGGGACCCTCTTTATATATAGAGATGTGAGGGACCCTCTTTATATAGAGAGAGATGTGAGGGACCCTCTTTATATAGAGAGATGTGAGGGACCCTCTTTATATATAGAGATGTGAGGGACCCTCTTTATATATAGAGATGTGAGGGACCCTCTTTATATATAGAGATGTGAGGGACACTCAGTAGGTTATTTATTTGTATTATGATAGGCCCTGAATGTTGTGTGAATATTTGTTAGGAGAATTATGCTGTATAAATTACAGAGTTATTAGATAGGCTTGGGTGAAGAAGGAATGCTTGATTGTCTGGTAGAATTATAATTAGGTTGGCTTCTTAACTTGTAAATGACGGGCTGTGTTCGTCCCTGCCAGACATAAGACTACTTGATACTTCTAGCTAGTTACATACACTGTGGTGATACTTTGTGTTGTGTATTGTGAAGCTAGGAGCATACATTTATTCAAAGAATTGAATATTGGCAATTTAACATTGGTAAGAAGTTTGAGGAAGTGTTACTGGAGGACAGTTGTTCCGTGTAGCACCCAGAGCTCAGTCAAGCTGCTACTTGCTCGCCACTCTTCATGGTGGCAACTCGGGCCGGCTCCAGCATCCCCATTTCCTCCTCTCCTACTCTAATTCGTCAAGGTTTATTTCTAAGTACAACCCCCATGTTAAGTGCCACCCTTCTGTTCTAAGTGTAATATTGCCAGTGTTACCCTGGTTATAACCGAGAGATCCATGTAACATGACCCAGGTACTGGCCAGAGCGCACATGTCTAATATACATATGCTTATTTAGGTTAGGTTGAATTGTCCCATAAGGAATCGTAGACTTTGCCACTCGCTGCTAGTATGTGAATCTCATCTCCTGCCTATGTAGAGTCTGAGAGTTAACGTGAAGTAGATTCGGTACATTTAACGTAAAATGAATGTGGTAGGGTATTGTAATTGTTACTTGGGGGTTCAGTGCTTTAATAAATAGTATGAGGTATTAACAGGAGTTTTATCATCCCAGCTCCTTAACTAGGGTTAGGTCATATGAACCTAGACTGCAGTCTATTCTTATCTTATTTCGAAAAATTGGTTTCCTGGGGGGCCGGGCCTAACCCCTATAGAGACTATTTCCTGACGCTATTCTGTCTGTTGTGTGATGGTATCCTCTGTCTGGTGAGTGTGTGTACGGGATTTTGTAAACTAAGTGTTTATTATGTCTTCATAATTACGTTACAATTTGTGATTACAAATGAACACAGTATATATTTACAGGTGTGTGTAATCTTATGATAATATATTTACAGATGTGTGTAATATTATGATCATATATTTACAGGTGTGTAACCTTATGATCAGATATTTATATATATACAGGTGTGTGTATTCTTATGATTATATATTTACAGGTGTATGTGTATTCTTATGATCATATATTAGTAGTGTAAAGTGCGACTAGAACCGCGCGCACCAGCTGCCAGCTGGCACTCCATGGAGTGCCAGCCGACAGGTGGAGCGCAGGTGTCTAGTCGCACAGGTTTTGGGGGGATTTTCAGGGAATTTTTGGCGCGTTTCGGACGCGTGTGAGCGTGTTGTGTTTGGGTATGTGGTCATGAAAGAGGGGAGGTCATGTTGATGAGTGCCAGGTGGTGCGCGAGGTCAACGTCGCAGCGCGGGTGTCTAGTCACATAGGGTTTTTGGGGGATTTCCCGGAAGTTTGGCGCGTGGCGGACTTGAGTGGCGGGCGAGCAGGTGCGGTCCCCCACCCCGCGCGCGCGCGCGCGGGTCTAGTCCTCGGGGGTTAAGGTAAGTGGTCAGGAACGATTGGAGATCTTGTTGTGTGAGAGTAAGTGGTGGAGTAAGAGGAAGGAGTGAAATGAATATGTGTGGGTTTAGCAAGTGATAGAGTAAGAAAATAGAAGGAAGATGGAGGAAGGAGTAAAAGAGTTGATCGTGAGTTAGTGTGTAGATGAGAGGAGAAGGCAACACAGTCTGTTATGTTGTTT